AATACATTCCAGCAAATCCAATAAAAAATGAAAAAAATATTGAACCTATAAAACCAATATAAATTTCTATAACCTTCTGACAAATTTTATTATTTGTTTGATTATTATACTCGTATGATGCAAAATATATATATGACTTGCAATTAAAAGGTGATATACGTATAAGATTAGAATTATTAATAGAAATTCCACATATTGTATAACTGATATTTGGATATATTTCATTAATTAAAATCGATTCATTTTGTTTACTTAAATAACAATTATATGAAAATTTTTTTATTGTAGAATTATAAGTATGTACAAGTATACCTAAATTTGTATTTATTTCACTTCTTATTATTGTAATATTAATTTTTGAATCAAATTTTTGTGTATCATTTATATAAAAATTAATATTAGATTTTTTAATTTCCAAAAATTTATTTTCATTAAATGTTGTTGTAGAAGAATTTTTATAATTTTCTTTACGGCATGAAATCCTTTCAGTATCAGTACAATATAAATTTATTTTATCAAAACTTTGATATTTCATTCCAGGTGGTTCATTACATGTTATAATACCTTTATATTTTCCGTTTTTTTTATATTTCATATATTCAATTATAAAATGCATTAACATACAATCACATTTCCAATTATTTTGTGTTAAATTGATATTAAATTCTGATTTTTGTAAAAATTTTGTAAAACTTCCAACTGGATAATTTTCCATTAAATTCCGACTTAAATCTAAAAGTTCAATTGTATTTAATATTGGTGCAAAAGTTCTTTCTGTTATATTTGTAATTTTACAATTTGTCATTGATAATTGTCTTAGAGCTCCATAATTAACAAATGGACTATCATTAAATAAAAATGTATTACCAATAATAATACCAGATATTTTCATTTCTATAATTTTATTTGTAAAATTTGTTGAAAGAAAATCAAATATATTAATATTTTCTAAACTTTCACTTAATGAACCAGCATATTGAAAAGTTTCAAGATTTTTTAATAAATTTAATGGCATTTTTGTTATAATATTTCCTCGATCATTACTTATTTTAAGTGTTGTTAACTCTGTTAATCCAGCAAATGTTTGCGCTTCAATTGTTGATATATTAATTGAAATGAATTCGATTATATTAGTATTTTTAAAAGTCGCCGTATTAAAAGCATTATTTTCAATTTTATTTATATTACAATATTGAAAAGACAAAACAGTAATTTTAATATTATTTATATCAATAAAATTTTCGGGTATACTTCCATTTAAAAATTTGCAACTAATTAAGCTTAACTTAATTTTACCCTATTTTTTAAGTAAAATAAAAAAATAATTAAAAATTTTAGTATTTGAAATAAATATTAAAATGTTCATTATAATTTACATGAAATTTGGAAAGAATCTTATTAATATTTTCTACGTTTCCATTATTACATTGAACAATTCCAACCGGTTTTTCGTTACAAGTAACTTGTGGTACTAGAAAATTTCAAAATTAGATTTTTTAACATTTTCAAATTTATTATTACACAACATGAATACCTTCGTCTGTTAGATCGTCACTCAATTCATTACAAAATATTAATTTATCTATTAACAAAAAAATTGTTATCAAATTAAAAAAAAAACACGACCACATCCTTTGAAATTCTTTCTATCAATGACAATATAAAATTTTTAATAAAAATATTTAAATATATTTGTTTTATCAATAATAAGATTAAACTATTATATAAAGTAAATACAAAATAATTATCTAAAATACTTGCGCTTTATGATTTCGTAATAATATTATCAAAAAATTGAGCATTGTGAGAATATTTGTAAATTCTTTATTTTATTTTTTCTCTTAATTCTAATTGAATTTTCTTTTATCGAAATTTCACTGATAATAACAGACTAAACTTTAGAAAATTATCACAAAATTTGATTAATTAGGCATATTATGCATTTATATTTTTAAAATTTTAAAATCAATAATGAAAGTGTTGCCGTTCTTACTTTATTCACCAATCACCGGATAATATTATTTTATTAGTTTTTTCGCTTTTTAAAATTTTATTGCATAAATTTTGGCGACTAAAAAAATTAAATGTAATTTTGATTTAACACATACGTAGACACCTACATAAATATTGATAAATTCTTAAACGTCAAATTTTACAAAATTTGAGTTGTCTGAGTTTACGAATACATACTCTACTGCGTTTTTACTTTCAGTCAAAGTTTAAATTCTTAAACGTTTAAAAAAAGTCAATTAAACGTCAAAATTGTAGATTTTTTTTTTAAATGCAGACAGTCTGACGTAGTAATTCAGTAAATAAATTTGATGTATTGAGTGACTATCATTACTTTAAAAATAATATAAAAAATATTTTTTTTGTTAATTTTTAATATGTAACTGTAAAATTATTTTAAATCTAAAAAAATATTTTTTTTTTGATTTGACGTTTATGGATGATCAAAATTCAAAGTCAATTACGGGTAAAAAGTTTACTACATTTCTGTCCGTAAAAGTTTTATACGTCAGACAGTTTGCAGACTGAAAACAAAATTTTGACGTTAAAGAATTTGCGGTATGCCATTTCAAGTTTTAAGAATGAAATAGATTAAAATATAGGGGTTTTTCTATAATTAATTTTAGATTAATTAGAACTAGACAACTAATTCTAACTAATGTTAGAACTAGCTTTAAAAAATACGTGAAATACTTAATTATTATTGTTTTGTGAAAGACCCCAAAATGGGGAATTCTGAAACAATATCCTATTTAAATTAATTGGTCAGTAATTAAAACAATACTCGCAACAACAATTTTTAATATATTTTTATATATTTTTTTTTTATTTAAGCAATTATTTATATACATAACTATATATATATACAAATATTATATAGATATAATTAAGGTTTTCTAGGTTAACAATCAAGCTTTAAAACTATTAATTACAACATGATATACACACAATATAAGAATAAAATTAAGTAATTTTTACAAAAAAAAAAAAAAGTACACAACTTAACAAATAAGAATTTTTTCATTAAAAAACTATAAACAAATTTTGTTTACATTTGGGTAACTGACTTAGTTTAATTATCTTAGTTTTAATTTAAAAAGGTTAAATTTTAAATTAAATCTTAAAGAAATTATAATTTTCCACTTACATATACTATAATTTAACGAAAATAAATATCAAATAAAAATTGATATTTCACTAACCTGTACCTAATCATTAAATTCAAATTATTTTAATTAATTATTGATTTAATAAAAGAAAAATTTTAGGAAATACTTAATTAGGCCGGTCACCTACTTTTTTTTCTCTTTATTTTGTTCATTAAAAATAAAATAATGATTTAAAATAATTGAGGTTTTTTTTTTTTATAAACGAGCACGATCGTTTTGAATCTCCGAAATATTTTATTAAATTTTATTGATATTTTAAATTTAATATTAGATTAATGCTCATTTTTAAAAGAATTCATTTTTATATCTACATACATTTATAATAATAAAAATTTTATTTATACATCTATGAAGTTATTTATTTATAAAAAAATAAACAAAAAACAAATATAAATTTAAGGAAACTTTACACTTTTATTTGCTTTGTTTGTTTTTTTTTTGTCCTACAGCTTAATAAGTTACGATTTATGAAACCTATTTCATAACTTTGGTAAACCTAGAACAAAAATTTATTATTATTCACTGGATTTGGTGTTTGTACTCAAAAACTTTAAGACGGCAAAATTAAAGTACCTGCAATACGATTATTACGCATTATAGTTGCACTTTTTAAATAGTCTAAAGTTTATATATTATTTGCTTATATACTAAAAAAAAAAAATATAGTAATTACAATTTATGTGCTAAGTTTGAGATAGATAATTTATGTAGCAATTTATTTATTATTAAAGCTACATATATATATATCTTTATTTGTTGCTTCTTGAATTAGGAACTGGTAAAAATAGTTATATTCAATCAGTTTGTTTTATATTTTTTTTTTATTTAAAACTAAAATGAAATATAATTTTGAGTGTAAGAAGATAATTAAATATTTTGATTATGTTACATGATTTCAAGAAAACTGAATTCTAATCCAAAAAAAAATATGTCATTATTTATTCTTAAAAATGTGCAAATTAGAAATTAGTTTACTTATATATTATATATATATAAAAAAAAAAAAATTTATGATTAACAAATCAAAATATTAAATTTTAGAGTTTGACTTAATTGCAATGAAATGTGATATGAAAAATTTTACATTGGAAAACTATTTTTTTTTTTTTTCTTTTTTGAGTTTATCCAATATGGCATTGTACTTATTTCCTATGAATATTAAATCATGTGATAATATAATATGTGATATAATTCTTATAAACTGTATAAACACGGTTTTACGATTAAATTTCTTAAATATAGTTTGTGAATATTGATACGTCTAAAAATTAAATTTGATTTGTATTTTTTTATTACTGAATTTAAGTAACATTCTTTAACAAATTTTATTGCGTCTTATTTAACAAGGCACATCATAAATTAGTTTTTAATGTTATTTGTTATTAATTAATATGCGTTGTTTTTTTAGAAATATGAAAAATCAAAAATTAATAAAATGTAAAGAAATGTTAAATTTGTGAATAATACAAATAAATTACAAAATAACTTACGTAATTACATTTAATAAATGTACATTCAATAAAATTATTAAAAGAATATGTACATAAAAATTATGTACAAATATATTAATAAATTTCATATCAATAACTTAAAATACTTTTGGGTTTCTAACTTACAATAATAATATTTTCCTTAAACAAAAAGTTAATGTAGAATTATATTAGACAACCATTTGGTACAATTTCTTACTAATATTCTTCTATCCTACTTTTTTTATAATTTAATGTAAAATAATATAAATAAGTGTAAATCAAAATAAGGAAAAAAAAATATTTAGATATTGTAACATACATATCTACATTTAGAAAAACCTAAAAAAAAAAAAAAGGAAATATAAAACAAAATATAAGATGAAATCTAAATCAAAGTTATTTGACACATAATTTTTGTCGTGACTTCATGAATGGCAAGAATATTAATCAAATAAAATATTGATTAATTGAAATTATTTATGATTTTTATCACGTTTTCGATATTTTGCCATGTACTCTAAATCTATACAAACAAGTATATGCCAAATTTCCATGATTTGTTTCAATTCTTAATTCAACAATTTCAAATGGACGATTGATTTTTTTATTTTGTACACTGAAATATTGTAAAGCAGGACCATCATCAGTATATTCGTATTCTCCAAATAAAACTGGTTCATCATCATTTTCACTATTGAGACCCTAAAATATTAATTAATTTTCAAATTTATTAACAAAGTTTAAAAAATATTTAATTTTAATATTCTACTCTACAAAAGCAACAAATAATAAAGTGATTGAAATTTAATTAAGTATAAGTTTTAAAAGACTATTTTAAAAGAAGAAACTTATTTAATTTTAATTATAATTCTCTAGAAAAAACTTACCAAAACTGTAAAATTTCTCGGAGCTGAATCAATATTTCCACTAGGAGATAAACTTTTTGGAATATGTTCTAATGAAAATCCTGACACGAATATCATTGTATTTAATTTCAAAACTATTAAAATATTTAAAATAAAAAAAAAAAAGCCCTTATTAAACTTATTAACAAAATATCATGCATCTAAATACATATCGGATGTTAGCTTAAGAAATTGAAAATTACTCAATTTTACATTTGCATTTTTTATTATACATTTTTCATTACAATTTTAAAAATAAAAAAAAAAATAAAAACTTACCCAAAAATCCAGGAAAACCTTGGAAAGCCCAACATTCTCCAGGCTGAACTGATGGTGATATAGCTGTTCTAGGCGTATTACTTGGATACCATAATGGAAATCCAAATAAAGATATTTGTGCAGATTTAACATGATAGTTTTCTGTACAGCGAGTTGATAAAATTTGCCCGCCAGCTGATTCTAAAGCATAATCTACCATTCCAGTTTTATCAGCATCATAAACCGCTAATACGCCACGAACAATACGCTTAATTTCTTTTTCATCTAAACTAGTTCCTTTAATATCAATTGTTGAACCTGATGCAGATAATAATTCTTTTTGACGAATTTCAACAGCTTTTAGAATTTCAATTTTCAATTTTTCACTTATGTCACCGAAAAGAATTGCCCCTGATTTATCAATTTCATCCCTTATATTTTTGTCAATTTTAAGACTTAATTCATTTAAACGGTCTTCTAAAACTGCTTTTGCTACAAACATATTACGTATCCAATTTTTCAAATCGACTTCATCTAAATTTATTTCACCATTATCTTTTGTTGAATAACCTAAAATTTCTATTAGACTCAGTTTTATTTGTCTATTAATTGATGAAAACTGTTTATCATTTAAACCAGCCAATCGTTCTCCAATTTCAGCTAACAGATTATCAAAACGACCATTGATATTTATTTCGTGTAACCTCAAACGTTCAGTGAGTTCATTTTGAGCGTTTTGTAATAAGGAAATTGATAAATATAAATCATTATTTTCATTAAGTTTGTCAACTAAATTTGTTTTAACAAAAAGAATTTCTTCATTTAATTCATCAATCAATTTTTGTTGATTCCGCAACAACTCTTTATACTTATCAGTTGTCATTAGATTAGACTGCATTTTGAATTGCAGAGTTTCCTCTATCGGTTTCATTAATAATATGCGTGAATCAATGAATTCAGATAATTTTGGTGATTCCAAAATTTTTAACAATAAATCATCAATATTTATTTTCTCTACTATATTCAAATATTGATTGTTAACATGAATATTATGCTGAATTAATTTTGTTATTTCTTCTATATTTTCTTTTGTTAAAACTAATGGACCAGGATAATTCATTGTTGATAATTTTACTTGAAGTTGTGCTATTATTTTTTCAATATCGGCATCAGTTAATACATAAGGTTCAATTTTAAGATCAGTTTCTCTCACATTGCCATAGTGCATGAATATTTGTTCTTGAACTAAATTTGCAATATATGACGCAATTTCTGGTGATATTTCTTCATTACGTTTCTGTTTATTTAAATTTAATTCATGAACTACCATTTTTTGAACATAACTATTTATATGATTAATTAAATTATCATATTCTTCAGGATTTAATGTTTTTTGTATATTATTTGTAATAGATGCATAATTATTATCATTCGAAAAAATTGATAAAGTTGGCCAGCCAAATGAAAATTTATAAGAATTAAGATTAGATTTGAAATTGTTTAATGTACTTTGCAATCCAATTAAAGAAAATGGAATTAAAGAATGATAACGAGATATAAGTAAATTTCTTTCTCTTTCATCTAAAAGTTTCCAAGCTGTAAAAAACATTTTTGATTGAAAATTTATAACAATATATTTAATAAAAATTTATTATATTTGATGTTCATGCTATTGAGATAATGATTCTTTAAGTTAGATCATGTAATTATTAATACGTTAAGCATATCTATTAAATCCAAAAAAAAAATAATCTATAATAAATTTAAAATCTACTATGTATAACAATCCACAGTAAAATGGAATTGTTTTCTACTCAAATTTTGAAAACATGTTTGTAATGAATTCAAAATAACAAAAAAGAAATAATTGAATTTCAATCTTTAAATACATCACAATTTTAATCAACTTTACTATTATTTTATAAATTACAGAATAATTATTTATTTATTATATTATGTTAGTTAATTTCACGAAAAATTTTATTCTATCGAATTGCTACTAGTTGAAATTTATGTACTAAAATGGTTTGTGTTTGTTAATAACAAACAATATATTTTTTTTTTAATTTATAATTCAATATAAATTAAAAACATAAAAACTATACAAACCTATACTTTTACGTATCAATTTTTAAGATTTTATCTTTTATAAAATTCACTTCAGGTCATCGTCGCAAATCATGCAATTAGAAACTAATCAATCGGAAAACAAATTTTAAATATTATAAACTTTTTTCTATTTGGTTAATCTAAAATTATTCATTTTAGGAATAGTTGAAAATTTTTTAAAATTTTTTATTTTAAATAATAATATATTATCGAAACACACTTAAGAATTGTTTTTTTTTTGCCACTCAATCCTTCTTCACAACCTTAATTTTATCAGAGAATTCATGAAATCTTATTGATATTTGAAAAAAAAAAAAAAAATGGCTGAAATTTCAAATTTTCTAAAAATGTTCCTTTTTTTTTTCTCTACTAATTTTGGGTAACAATAAAATTAGAATATATTTTTAAGTAAAAAAAATTTTCTATAAAAATTTTAAGATACAATATAAATAGAATTTACATAAACATAATCATGAAGAAGGATAGAGATGGATTAATCTTAAGTGTTTTTAATAAATGCTATTTAAATTTTCTTATTCTAAGTTTTTCTTTATTCTATAGCTACTTACCTGAAATTACAAAAAAAAAAAAATTAAAAAAAAAGTCATTAATTGTATTTAAAAAGAAAACTACATTTTTTTTTTCTTTATTACGAATACATCAAAATACAGAATTTATTTATGAAATTAAAAGAAAAAAAAAAAACTTTTTTGTTATAAAAATGACAAAAATTTAATAATTAAGAATAAAATTTAAAAAAAAAAACAAATTCATAATTAACTTTACAACAATATGGTTACAACTTGATTTAAATACTTAATCAATTTCAAATATAAAAACTGAAAAATTAAAACAATATTCATTTTGCGTTTTTCAAAATGCTGAAAATTACATTCTACATTAATTATTATTTTTTTTTAATATACTACAATATTGCATTTAATTATAATTATTTTTCAACATTAAATTAATTTTTGTTTTTTGGAATTTATTCCTTTTTTTTTTTTTTAACAAAACTCTTAAAAACACTTTTTTAGTTGAACTCTATCCTTCTCCTGTGGTATGCTTTCTATTTAATTTTGTACTTAAGTATAAATTTTCTTTGTATCTTTTCAGATTCGATAAAAAAATTTCTTAACTACAAATCGCATCAAAATAAAATAATCTGGAATTCTATTTAAAATTGAAAAAAGGTAAGAAAAAATAACAGGAAATAAAAGGAAAAAAGGATTTTGAATGGAAATTTTTGATTGATTCACACCACACGTTTTCATTGTAAATGTAGACATTTTTCATACAATTATAATGTATTTAATATTATTAGAAATTATTTTTTAAATACATACACGTACATAAATGTCCTTATTTGTATTACGACTTTAAAGAAAAAAAAAAGCAAAAATTTAGAAATACGGATAACTCGTAGACTCCTATAAATTATATTTCGGACATGATATTAATATTGTATAATAATTTGGATAGATTTGTAATTTTTTATTTATTTATTATAAATTTAAAAATGTGGTTGTATATTATGTACAAACATATGTATGTACATATAAAATATTTTTTTTGTTTTTATTTGCTTGAAATTTAAAATATCTTCCAGTTTTGTTCAAATATTGCTCAAATTTAAAATATGAATCATGTAAAATTTGGAAGATTTTATTTAATTATTTTTTTTTTAACTTTAAATATTTACTTGTTTTGGAATAATCTTCAATATAAAGTAATTTCGTTGAGCGGGTTTAAATATATAACATTTTTATTTTGTTTGATAAGTATACAAATTGAACATAACACAATAATTACAATATTGTGTAAAAAAAAAAAGGAATACACAATATTCAATTATTAAGTTATGGTTCAACAATACCTAAAAATATTATTAATGTAAAATTAATTTAATCTGTTTGCATCTCAAATTCTACTAGAAATAAATTTTCAAAAAAATCTTGAACTAATTAATAATTAAAATGACTCAAAATTAGAATTTAAATTAAATTAATTTTAAAACAATTCTTAAAAATTATATATAATTTAGAATTAAGTTAAACTATGCAACTTAAGGAAAAAAAAAATATGCAACTACATTCATATAATTTTTAAAAATATTAATTAAAAAAATTTTTTCTGTAAAAATGACTTAAACCAAATAAGACCACGATAAAAAATTTTGTTTAATCTTCAAAATGAAATGTTATTAAACAAAAATGTGGCAAATTTTATAAATTTATATTTATAAATGTAAGATTTTCTTATAGCCTAAATTACAAGAGATAAAATGTGACGAATATTTCTAAAATACCAGATATTTTGATTTTCTATAATTTTTGAAGAGGTGGGTTAAGCACAATTTTGTTTTTTTTTTTTTGTTCATTTTATTTTATAGTATCTATACAATTTTGTATTATCTATATAATATTGCTCTTAAAAGTTTCATAAAATTGAAAGTCAATATTAAACAATTTTCGACACTAAATTTACCTAAACTTATAAAATATTTAAAATTAAATTTTGTTCATTATTTTGTTTGTTTAAATTTAATATTTCCAATAATTATTTTCTACTAGTATGATTTACTTTATACCTAAAAAGTATTAATTACTATTGAAATAATTAATAGTTTTTAAAAAGATTGCAAACAGATTAAATAGTTGTACCAAGACATTTTCTTATATATAATGATATATATATATATATATATGAATAAAAATGCTTTCACATAAAATTATTTAATTGGAAAAATTTTCCATAACAATTTTCTGTGTTTCACTTGCAACATTTTTTGAAATCGTTTTTAAATATTCAAAATAATCTTCTGTCCATAATCTTAAATTATCAAGTTTTTCATAAGTGCCAGCTTTGATATAATCGATATTTTCCGAATCAATTATGTATGAAAAATTAACTGTGGGAATATGAATGTTCCGTGAATATTCTACCAAAACTTGAGGAGGAAATGGTTCATTTGGATGTATATGGTAATAAAAGCCTTTTCATTTAATTTCATTGATAAGATATTGGAAATATATTGGGGAAAGAAAAGAAAACAAATATTAAGAGAAGAAGGAAAAAAAAAATAGAGAAAAATACAAATTAGTAACTTTTAAGAATAATTACTTTTCTAAATAAAGAAAACAAAAAAAAAAAATTAAAAAAAAAATTTTTTAATAAGTATACTCACCAGCCAATAATAACAAAGGTAACAAAATCAACAACAGCAATAAAAATCTTTTCTTTTTTCTTCCATCAGCATTTGAAGATCGTAATAACCAAGTGTCCAGATAAAGTATATAAGAAATCATTAAGTATAACGCGCTGAATATTGAATATATGGCATTTTTAATGGCATTCGTGCTTCTGGATAAAATTCCTAAAATCAAACAAAAATTTTAAAGTAAAATTAATCCAAAAACTATTTTAATATTTCTTAATTGAATTATTAAAAAAAAATCAATAGGTATCTTAGTATTATACCTGCTTGACTTCCATGAATTCCAGTTCGAGATAAATAACTTTGATCTTTCCTGTCTTTTGCAGAAAAAATACTCGTAAAGATAGAAAATATTGAAACAATTCTTGTTATAAATTTTCTTATATATGATTCTTCTCGCATATAATTGTATTGATTTTGTTCATTGAGATCCGTTTCATCTTGCGAATCATATAATAATTGATTGACATCTTCTGTTTTACGTTCAATTCTCTGATTTTTTGAAAATAATGTCTCAATAAAACGTTTTCTGATACTTTCTGCTTGATCTGGATTTCTCTCAAGCATATAAGTGATACGTTCATTGTGTTTTTCCAAACTTCTTCTTGACATATTTGGGAAAGCAACAACCCCAGGCGCTAATTCCCGACGATGTGATGATAATTTAGAGTATGTGTAATCAGTTTTAGGAAATTTCCTTAAAAGAAATTAAACATGAAATTAAAAACAAATAATACAAAAAGCCAACACACTTAAAAATTAAATATAAAAAAATTTATGCACTTACTTCCAATATTCGCCAGCAGCTATATACTCTTTATAAGCAGGATGATTTGGATCACTAATATCGCCATTAAAACTGCTATCAACATATCTAGACGTTGTTTTTTTCTTACTTACTGAATTAGATGACAATATAGGCGTGCTTGTTTTAATTTTTGAATTTTCTTCAAATTCTGTATTACTTTCATTTTGTAATACCTCTTTTGTTTTATTTCCATGCTGACTAATTGCTGTACGGCCATTTGAAATAATATTTCTTCCAGTTCTTGTTGTGGTAGTTGTTGTTCTTGTTGTAATAATTGTTGAATTTTTTTTATTTTGACTGTTAATCTGATTTTGATTCTTATACATAATATGGGCTGTTGGTTGAATTTCTGATAATGTTGGTGTTGAATCAGTATTTGTACTTAAATCTTCACTTGAATTTGATGAATAATCTGATGTTGTACGTGCTGATGAAACTTTTGTTAATACAGATTTTACTTGATTAATAGATGATCTTTTTGTTGGTGATTGAGGTCTATTTGTTTCAAATTCTTCTTCAATTAATGTACTAAAAATATTTTAGAGAACATAAAAGTATGTAAATAAAATTATGAAAATAATAAACTTACGAAATTTGTTTATGTTTCTGGCTTAATATAGGTGATTTTTTATGGTGATGGTGATGATGTTCAGGGTCATCATCATTAACGTGTGTACATAATTCATGATCACAATTTGAACGTAAAAATGGTGTTTTAGAACGAGAACGAGATCTCGTATCTATGGGCAACTCATCCATTGATTTTAATATTTAATGGAACAAAACAAAGAATCTAAAATTAAAAAGAAAGATAAAAAATTATTTTTAAATATATTATTAAATGAAATGTAAAAATAAATTTTAAGTTACTGTTACCACCTTATTGAATGTAAAATAATTCTCTAATGAATTTATTTCAAATTATAATTATCTATATATAAAATCTAAAATTGTTCTTAAAATTTGTATTTTCATCAGAAATAATATATGCTAGAGGTGCTTAAACCGTAAAGACCAAGAAATTTAAAATATTTAATTAAAAATTGAGAAAGATAAAACAAATATTTTTTTTTTGTCTACATAAAAAATTTTTTATGAATGCCAACGACAACAAAACTCTTATGAATGCGAACGAAAAAAATAACTCTTTTTTTTTTTTTTTTGGTACAATCTACATTCATGTGAATATTGTGTGAATATAGAGAACAAATAAAACGCGCCTAACAAGTTATGCTGATAATGTAATGTGGTTTTGTTTACATTCTCTTTTTAACATTTTTGTTTTTACCTTACTCCACCGTTGTAGACTTTATTTTGTAAGGGGGACTAGGTTTTTTTTTATTAATATATCTACAAGTAATTGTTATATTATAAAATATACATATGGATTTTAATTCACACACGCACAAGTTTCACATTAGAAATATTTTTTTCCTATAACACGATATATAATATTGTTTTAGTATTTACAATTTGAAATATTCGTGAAATGTCCACTATGCTTTTAATTTTTAATGATAGTTAGATTTTTGTTATAATTTTTTTTAACCAAGTTTACAATAATTGTTAGTAAGCGAATGTAAATTATTTTAGAAAAGAAGAGAAATTTTATGGTATAATTTATAAACAATGACAATGAGTGTAGAACATATTAAGTTTCCACTGAAAAAAATTAAAAATTTGTTTTTTTTTTTTTTAACAGGCAATTAATAATTTTGGATTTTAAATATATTTTAGACTATAAATAATGTCGGTTCTGGTTCATATACCAGAAATTGATAGTGAAATATTTATTGATAAGAAAATCTTTTCTTACTCGTAGATTAAGTAAATGTTTAATATTAAATTGAAAAAATCTCAATATTTTTGCATACAATACAAAAAATGCATTACAAAATAAATTTTTTTTTTTAAATATTAGCTAATATAGATGCACAAAAGAAAATATTTAAGATTGCGTTACACCTTTTTATAATTTTTTATATTAATATTTATATCGAATTACCTGAAATGTAATTTATTAAGTCAAGAAAAACTTGTTATTTTATAGTAAATAATATTAAATACACATAGTGTCAAATTTTTAATAATTTTTTATAAGTATTCTGCTTGAATTCTTTAATTGAAATAAAAAAAAAGAATGCAAATTTGAATTTATTTCATTTATAATGGATTACAAAATTTTCTTGCATATTTTTAAATAGTAGACAAATAATATTGATTTTATACAAATTAAATTTTAACAGTTCCCAAAGCAATGATTTTCGGACCCTGATATTGACAAAACATTCGCTAGTTAATTGTTTCAACAAGCACAATTAAAATATAAAATTTCCAAAAATATTCGTTGATTACATACTACAATCAATACGGTAAGTTTTAATTGAATAACTTTCTAATATCGTAATATCGAAAAAAAAAAATTCTAATATCGTAAAAAAAATATTTTATACGTTATGCTTAAATAAAAGAGCAAGTTATTAAATTATATCTCCTATAAAATTTAATTCATTTTAATTTTTATAAATATGCAGTTAATATAATATACGGTATTGATTTTCAAAAGTTTAATTTTAAAAATTTTAAACTCGTATTCGACTGTAACGTACTTCAATAAAAGAAAAAATAAAAATTGAATATTTTGTACCCTCTTAAATTTAAATTGAAATTAATTCTAGACCACAGAACTGAAGCTACCATTGACCTTATTAAAAAATCATTAATTACTACTAAAATTACAACTATCATTAATTACACACTTAAGTATCTTTAAAAAAAAAAAAATATTAACAGAAACCTCAAATGCACCCGTATAACATATTTTTTTTTTAAATAAAAGAATTTTGTGTTATTTAATTCCGTTGTAAAAAAAAAAAATTAAAATTGAATATAAGCACGTTTATTAAAAGAAAATATTTGTTTACGATTATTTTTTATATACACAAAATTCTTAATAAAATTGCAATAAAATTAAAATAGCAAAAACTATATACGATATACATAAGAATTTTATGTAACAAATTAGAATTACAAAAATTTTTTGTATGTATATGTATATTATATATTTGTACAACTGTAGTTGTAACATTTACAACACTGAATATTTCATATAATTCTATAGTATATAAGTAATAACATATTTATTTATGAAACTCATAAAATATAAGGTTAAAATAATAAAAACATAAAAAAAATGATTAAAATAAATATTGTATTTAATAATTCCTTGTACATAAATGATTAATTAACCTTGATATATGTGTATGATGAACCTTGTCAACAAAAACAACATTAACTATTTATTTTGTTTTTAAATAAGTATTCTTATTAAATATAACATAATGTTTTTCTAAAATAATTAAGTAGATTGTAAGTGAAATTTTCTATTTAGATTATTAACATTAAATTTTTATAAAGCTTTAAAGATTAAAAATATGTAGGTCTCGGGGAGGCAACACGAAACATGCACTGAATATTAATTATGATGTTTTTTGAAGCTACTGAGAAAAGTAACGGGTTTTTTATCCAATATTTTAAGTTTTATAGAGGAAGAGCATTTTTCCAATCTTAAAATTTACGAGTGTTTTTTGAACTAGGATTAAGCACCATATCTACTTATACTTGGTCGCGGTGCGCAATGGATTCATCTAATTGTGAGTCAAGGTGCATTATCATAATAAACAATTAATAAAATTCTTATAAAGCTTTAAAAGAATTTTTAATATTAATAATTCTAAAATTGTATTATTCTATTTTATTACAATTTAGGAAACAATATTAAAATAAACCAAATAGTGACAACAATTAACAAAAGAATTATTAAAACTAATAAATTCTTTTTTTCAAGAATTAAATAAAAGCACGTACATAAATACTTTTTTTTTGAAATTATAAAAAATTTAATAAAAATTATTAAGTGCGTACATTTATTCAAGTAATATAAAATTATATAATTAAATGACTCATGTAGACACAAATCAATTAAATACTAAAATTACTTAATTATGAAATTGATTATGAATAATATATAATTTATATAATTTATGTAGAACTTTAGTTTAAATGTATATATATAATTATTATTTATAATCGTATTTTCATATAAAAAAAGTCAATTAACTTGATAATTAAAAATAATGTGTATTTTATTAAATAATTTCGAACTCAATTTGCATACTTATTTCAAAACAAAATTTAACTTTAAAAATCAAAATTAATTTTAGGCAAATCTCATATTTTTGTACAGCTTGTTTCCCAAATAAATGTTAATTCTTATGCGATTATGGAAAAACATCAGTGTTCATTTAATTTTGATAAGTACTGTTAATTATATACGATAACTGCTGATTTAATAAAAATAAATATTTATTGTCTTAAAACTTTAATAAATTCATGAAATTCTTAATTGCTTAAATCGTGATTTCTATGTTTTTATATAACATTATTAATTCAAGGTTAACTTAACCTTATATTAAATAATAAATATATTATAATAATTAAAATGTGCTATAATATTTTAATAGATTTTAGGCATGAAATGTATATGTACGCACATTTATTCAAAATTTTTTTTTATATATACCTATATACAAATTATTTATTATTTAAAATATTTTAATTATGTAAAAATTTTCTATTTTACAAATACCAAATAAAATTTACCAGTATATAAGCAATTTGCAGATACGCATACAAGATCTTGTATAATATAAAAGATATAAAATTCAATTTTTTCGACCCTCGAAACTAAATACTTTAATTTAACACAAAACCATTTCTCTTCAAAATAAAATGGGAAAATTTAAAATAAAAATTAAAAAAAAAATTTTTTTTAAAGCAATTTCATTTTTATATCTAAAATGTAAAATATAAAAGTATTGGTGTTTAAATAACAATACAACTAAAAATTTTAATAGCTCGTGATTCATTTGAATAAAATCGAAATGAACCTCTAAAAACGAAAACAATTTGAAAGCAAAAAAAAAAATTATTCAATAGAAAAAAAAATACTTGAAATCTGTTAAAAATTGAATCAAACATTTTTCCCACCTTTAAAAAAATTTTTTTTTATAAATCTTATACGGCTACACGATTAGACACTAATAGCTAGCTAACAAGCTGTTCGATAATATAAGCTTTTTCTTCTGTTACTTATATATTCTCTCATACAACCATTGTAAGTACATATACTTAGTATGCACACAAATATAAAAATATTTTTTGGCACACACATTAATATTATGATTATTTATTTATTTTTTTATATATATTTTAGCTTTTATATAAAATTTCGCAATATTTTTCCACTTAGAAATAATTAAATATAAATAACAAAAAAAAAGTTTGAAACTAATACAAAATTAAAAACAAAAAGCGTCGCAGTCATATTATAGCTCCAACTAGCTAGCTAGCTTATTTTTATTTACATAACCTTATTTAACAAAATATCGTATACATGTAGTATTTTAGAATATATTGTATATAACAACTAAGTATGTACATAATAAGCTTTGTTAATAAATAAAACTTTGTATGTAAGATACTAATTAGCTAACGTATATTTAAAAAAGTTCGTTACGTCCGAAGGCGCATTCATAAAGAAACCAAACAAAAAAAAAATGTTGTTCTACTAAAACTTTCAAAAAAAAAAAAAAAAAAATAAAGGAAGAACAACCGAAAATAAACAACGTGAAAAAAATACAAAATTACGTCATTCTTAAATTCGTTTTTTTTTTTTTTGGCGGTACGCAAACAATAACATTGTGTGTACATACTTAACAATATTCAAATATT